GGGCCTAGGCTGGATTCGAACCTGCCAGCTCAGGTGTATGTGGCTGGTGCCTTAGCCGCTTGAGCCACAGGTGCCGAGCCCCCACCCCAATTTTTAACCAAATTTCTTTGTCCATTTTCTCCTTAACCATGAAAGACTTGTCATCCACAGACAATTATTATTTTACTTTGATTCCTCTCAAAAAGTGATTTTTTAACTGACTGTAGTCTAGAATTTGTTTCTTTAAGGAAATTTATAGAAAAAGACTTTTACAGGTTCTTTTAAATATAGATGCAGACGATAACTTAGGGTATCATACCATGTGAAGTAAGAAAACTTCCAAGACTTTATTTAATCCAACCTCAAGGAGAAAAAAAATTAATAACATGGAACTAAACTACATTTTTATGACTTTTGCTTAAACATTACTGATTCTTTTGGTATTTCATTTTCTAGAAGTGAAAAAAATTTTTCCCTTCTTTTGAGTTATTTACACCTTACAACAAATTGGTAAAGTATATTTACGTATATTAGAGTCATGAATGTTCCCTTTACTTGATTTCTCCAACATTGGCAAACTATTAATACATATTATTATTACATTTTATAACAATATAATAATTAATATAATGTGACAATTAATAATTAATATAATGTAATTATACTGTAATGTAATTACATTTTATAATTGTATTCTTAATTATTATTATATTATTATTGTATTGTTAATTAATAATCATATTATTGTATATTCCATTTTCTAAAAGTACTGAATTGGAGATGCTGGAATAGGATAGATTCAGAAAGGAACAGACTGCTTTAAAGAACTAGGTTGACTTCATAAGGTCAATCAAAAAGCTCTCTGAAAAAATTGGCCTGATACCTCAACCATAACATTTCCTGATCTGAGGTAAGTAAAGAATGTCATTTTCTAACAAGTTACTTTGGGATCTCAAGAAAAAAGGAGTTAACCCAGTTCATGCAGGTATCTACAGCCGAATCTTTGGCTTAGCTCAAGAGGTTGCAAGTCTCACCTAAGATTCCTTATTTAAAAACTATCGCAAGAAAGCTAATTTTTTATTTATTTATTTTTTTCTTTTGAAACTTACCAGTTATTTATTTTAAAGCCATATTTTTTAAAGGAAAACCTATATGACCTATGATTAACAATTGTTATTATGTTCTGCAACATTTTAGTTACAAATTTCTAGATAAGAAAA